GCTTTAGCAATAAAAATTTTTTTATTGTCCAAAATTCATTTTATCTATTGCAATATAATAAATGATAATCTATAATTAATTATTATTATATATTATCCAAAAATTTTTAGTTGCGATAAGAAAATTCCTAGCATTTTTGTATTTAATTGCACAGTATTCTAGAGAAAAATTTTTCTAATAAATTCTAAAATTATTATCAAAGAAAACACTATGCCTAGAGAAAACCGTATGTCCAAAATTGCTCGCCTCACTCATTCTGATTAGAAAGATCCTGCCTGGGAGACTATAGTGATGCTTCAAGAAAGGATTAAAATTTTGAAGCACTTAGTACATTGTGGAGAGAAGGTCAAGGTCTTGCAAGAAGAGGTTATCAAGTTGAAAGAAGAGGTTTTCAAGTTACAGATAGACTTGGAAAAGCTTTCAGACACTCGGGCCCTTCATTGTCGCAATAGAGAGTTGGAGTTGGAAAACTTCAATTTGAAAAACAGGGTGGCTCGGTTGGAGGAACTCCTTCAACTTTTAGAAACTTCTGTCCCTGCTCCTTTTAACTAGTGATCTTAGTTGGTCAAAATTTTTCCAATCGATTAGTTGTTTTAATTATAAACAACTAGTTGCAACTAAAAATCCCTATACTCTGATTGGTCAATTCCAAACTTTCCAACTAACGATTTGTAACACTACCCGAAGTGGTTCTTCTGTCTCCATGCGGGTGTCAGCCGTCCAGTCGAAGGAGGCCTCTACCCCCTCCTTTATGGTGGCTTCCCAGCCGGGTGGCTGGCTGCTGCCTGCTACGGGTGATGTTAGCTGCTGTTTTTGCTGGGTTTTGGGCGCTGGGGGCTATTGTTGGGTGGAAGCGGGCGAGCCCTTGCTCCTGGAACTGCTGCTGCTGTGTGATGCCATGGCGGGTGGGGCCTTTGGGCGGACTCCTGGCTGATTACTGCGGATTTTAGGCGAATCTGGGTAATCAGGAAAGAGTTTTTTTTTTGCTTTTTTGATAAATTTTGATATAAATATATTAAATTTGTTAAATATTATAGTTTATTATTCTTAAATTTTAATTTTTTTTATTGTTTAAATTTTTATATTTTTTAAATATAAATTAATATATTGAACTAATTAATAAAATTTTAACATATAATATATTAATTTGAACTAGTAACAGTATATTCATTATCTTTATAATTGTAAAATAACAAATTCTAGTTAACTTAAAATATATAATATAATTTAAATAAAATTTACGTAAGTGAGTCAATAAATTATATTTGTTAAAAAGATAAAAAAAATATCTAATTATTATAAAATACAGTCTGGTTCAAAAAAAACTGGAATAAATTTTATTTTTAATTTTACTTATTGTCTGGAGTGAAGAGAAGGACTATACGGTTCAGACAGGGTGGTTGTTTACATCTTGTCCCAGTCATTACGTAATACGCGCAATAATCTAATAAATAGAGTACATAATTAACTTAATAATAAAGCGCGTAATTAGCAAACGAACCTAATAGAACGCGTAATTAACGAATAAACCTAATAGAGCGCATAATTAACGAATGAACCTAATAGAGCGTATAATCAATAGAATAAATGTGTTGTAATAAATAAACATATAATATATATATTTACGAATGTTGTGTGTTATAATAAAATAAACTATATACAAAAATAAACTATACAAACTATGTGCAAAGTGCGCATCATTCTCCGACCTTACGAACCCATCTAGTATTGAATTAAACTTTTCCAACAGAATTAATAGAGAAATGGCCGTTATCGTTTTCTGACGTTATTTCAATATGAACTTATCCTATCCGGTATTGTAATAAACTTTTTCGACAGAATTCATCTTTATTTTTTTAATGAAGCGAGAACACGAGTTCTTAGAAGAACATAATATTCGTCTCAAGAGAAGACATAAAAGAAATCAGCTGTGCCGGGAACAAGAGACTTTGGATGAACGTGATACTCGCCGAAAAATCGATCGGGAAAGAAAACAGAAACTTCGTGAACAAGAGACTTCTGAGGAGCACAATGCTCGCCTTTATAGAGGCCGTGAGAAATATCGTCAGCTTCGTGAGCAAGAGACTTCAGTAGATCATAACATTCGCTGAGAGAAAAATAAAAAAGCATATCAGTATAAAAAACATTTAAAGATTGTTAGAGAAGCTCAACAGCCTCAAGCTGAAGTCGAGTATCATCTACCTGAAGGTGTTCCAGAGCTTATGGAGCATGACAAACAATTTTTAACAAAGTTTCGCGATTGCATGGCAAAGCTCAAGAATTTGCATTGCCCTATGTGCAATGAATACTTCCCATCCATTAATCTTGTCAAGGGTGAATGCCGACGATGCTATAGTGAGAAGGAACTACCAAAGAAATTCTCTGCAGATAATAACATGGATCCAGGAGATGTTCCTGTTGAGCTTCAGGGTATGACGGAAATACTTACCTTGCAAAAGGCTGTGATAGATCTTGGTACAAAGGAATTTACAGCTGGTCTCTTATTTGTAGCAATATCTCGAGTTAGAAAGCTTCGTGATATTCTTTTTCAACCATTCTCTTTTGAAAGACTTATGCGTATTAAAAATTGTACGAGATTACAGGAGAAATTGCAAGAGGAGAAGCGATTACTTAGCATAATTTATGAATAATTTTTTTTTTTTTTTTTTTTAAATTAACTATTAACTATAAAAAAAAATAATAAATTATGTCGATATTATTAATATTATTAAGCTATTTTAAATTCATTATAATTATCTTATTGTATCTCTACACAAATTTAAATTTTAAATTGAAAAGTTTTTTTAAATTAATAATAATAATAATAAACAATATAAAAAAAAATATAATATTTAAATCGCTCCAGACGTATAACGGTTTCCGTTTCCCTAGTAATATAATAAATATTAATCAATTAAAATAAAAATATATTTATATATATTTAGAGATATAAAGAATACAAATATGTTAAAAAATTATTTAAATACAGTATATTAAAATAATATATTTAAATTATAATTAAAAAAAGACTGCAATTTAAAATTTAAAATTTTTTGTCAATTACAAAAAAAAAAAAACAATAATATCAATTATTAAAATTATTTTAATAAAAATTTTTAAAAAAAATTTTTTTTTGACTTAATAATAAGCTATCTACTTTTTGATAAAATTTAAAAAAAATTTTTAATAATAATAAGATATTTTTATTCTATTATAAAAAAGATATTATTAATTTATTAATAATTATATAATAATTTTATAGAAAATATTAATTAAAATCAAAAAAATCTATTTATTAAAAATATAAAAAAAATATTTATTAATGTTAAAATATAAAAAATTATTTAAAAAAAATATATTTTTAATTATAAAAAAATTTATAAATTATTAATTAATTATTAAAAAAATCATATAATAATTAATTATCTTTTTATAAAATATATTTATTATTAAATTATTATTTATTAAATTAATATAAAAAGTAGGTAGCTTATTATTAAGTCAAAAAATTTTTTTTTAAAAAAATTTTTATTAATATAAAAATTATAAAAAAATTATTTTGAAGATTTATTAATCTATATTTAATTAATTTATATATTAAAATAATTTTAATAATTGATATTATTGTTTTTTTTTGTAATTAACAAAAAATTAAAAATTTTAAATTGCTGTTTTTTTTTAATTATAATTTAAATATATTATTTTAATATATTTAAATAATTTTTTAATATGTTTGTATTCTTTATATCTTTAAATATATATAGATATATTTTTATTTTAATTGATTAAATATTTATTATATTATAAGTAAAATTAGAAATAAAATTTATTCCAGTTTTTTTTGGACCAGACTGTATATTGTAAAATAATTATTTCGCAACTATTTTAAAATAACTGAGCCCACATTACTAATTGATTGGTTTGGTGTAACAACTTGGTGAGTTTTTTTCCTTTTTTATAGCAAGGAAAGCAAATAAAATTAAAAAAATGAGCGTACAATTAGTCCTAATATAAAGTTTTATGCATCTTATTTTATATAATTTCATTATTGTAACAAAGTCCATAATTTTCCAAATGTGATTTGAGGCGAGTATTTGATTAAGATATCGAATCTTTTATTTTTCATTAATTTAAAACGTATGAGCACGTAGTTATATTACAAAAACTTTATTAAGTTGTGGCAAATTATTATATAACCTTTTTATTGAATTTTTTTACAAAGAAGAGAGAAGGGATGGAATTTTTTTTTTCGATTAACATTATTTATCTGTCGTTTAAAAGAGCAACAGAATTATAATATCAATTATAATTTAATAAATCAGCGATCCTGTGAATTACGATAAATACAATTTATTACTTGATTTAGTCAACCCCAGCAATCCATTTCATCATTTACATCAAGTTATATTGAAACCATGCGCAATAATTTTGGTTAATAAAATAGTAATGACGAATCATAATAGACTTCGTCAATTAAAACGTATTTGGTAGTCTTGATCCTAAGAAGAAGGAACAGATTTGGTGTGCCTATTATTCCCACTACACCGCCGTGGTGAAGGGCCATTATTATATTTGTTATTTAGATTATCGGTCCATCTGTTTTTTCTTGTAATTTTATGTACGGGGTTGCAATAGATAAACCTACGTTTTCGTTGTATAGGTGATCTTGGAGCGGCAACGAAATTACTGCAAGAATATATGATTATTGTTATTTTTCCTATAGCTTTTTCCATGTTTTTTAAAAAATATATTTTAATATATTTGAGTGGAAAATAAATTTTCTGCGCTATGAAATGTTTGGCCGAGAAACTCTATATATATTTAAATTAGCCAAGACGGAAATTTATTTGGTATCATAAATCGTGTTAATTACAGAGGGCATCCGACATGGTTGCTATTTCATGTGTGACACGAGAGTTTTTTGTTTATGAATGATCCGTTCAATTGATTTTTCCCAATTTGTCATTATTTAGTAATAGACATTTTTACATGTCTTATTACGTATCACGCGATTAAAAACAGAAAAAGCTTAATTACTGTTTCAGGAAAAAATTTCTATTTATTATCTGAACCAATGATCTTGTACGCCGTTTAAAAGGTAATGGTATTGTCCATTGGTGAACCAACTTTAGCAAATAAATGACAATGTTTTATCCAGATCAGAAAATAAACAAAGGCCAAATTTAGAAATATATTATTACGTACAGTATTTACGCCCACAAAATCTCAAAAATTCCCTTTTAAAATGATTTTTATGATTTACGAATATGCCATACTACAAATAAAATGACATAAAATAATATTAATATCATCAGCTTTATTGTGTCCTATCCATCATAAGGCGACATAATCATAAATATTTCCATAATGTAATCACTTTTGAATATAAAAATTAAAAAGTGACGCCCCAATAATCGCTCCATCGATATGAACAGGAATCAAAAGGGAAGGTTATTTACCGACTAAAAAAAATCAGTATAATAATCTATTAAGTTTAGTTTAATGTATAGGAAATATAAGATAAACGTATCTTGTTCTGCGTAAGATAAACAGTATTACCAGGTGGATCAGCATCATTGTCATCAAAAATGCGTGTAAAATTGTCACGTCGTGTCGGTCACCAACCTGGTCACCTACTCGTATAATAGTTGAGATAAATAAACTATACAACACAAGAATATCACTTAACTTACGTTTCTTAAAGTCGAATTCTATTGGCATTAATTGCTGTAATTTCATCTGCGGCCGTCCTTTAGGTTTTTCCTAAGCTAATATTTCTTTTAAGCTTATGTAAACACTCATCTATAATTTTATAACCTTTTGAGGTCGAGGCGTGAATTTATTTGATTCAAACTACAGGTTTCTATAACGATTAGGTTATCTCTTCCCTTGATGTATAACAACATAATTAACTTTGTCATTAATACAATACAATTTGATAACATATAGGATATTTAATTATTATTGTTAACATATACAGCATTCTAAAAAGTATTTGTTTTCTACGGTATATAGAATTTCTAAATACTAAAAATTGTTCAAAACAATATTTTTCTGCAGAAGGTTTTCCGAATTATAAGGATGCCTGAAACTCTTAAGATTTTAATTCTCCGCCTTTAACAATAACCTTGTTTGTCGCTTAATCTGATTTTAGCTTCTATCCTGTTATATTTTGACGGCAATGCGATATCACGTTACGTCAGCCTAATGACACAAATAGGTAGGAAAAAAAGGAGAGGATATGGCAAACTGGTTTCACTCATCATTACATAAAACAATTCTACGAAGTAATACAATCTGATTTTGAAGTTTGGGGCACTTGACATACGATCTTATAATTATGTCATAACGCGTATAAGTATGATGTATTGAGGAAAAAAAATTCTACGATGAAACGGTTCCTATCCGAAATACGTAATACAATCTGATCTTGAAGTTTGGGGCACTTTATGTCATAACGAATAACAAGGTAGGTAAGTATGATGTATTGAGGAAAAAATTCTACGATGAAAGGTTCCTATTCGAAATACGTAATACAATCTGATTTTGAAGTTTGGGGCACTTGACATACGATCTTATAATTATGTCATAACGCGTAACAAGGTAGGTAAGTATGATGTATTAAGGAAAAATTCTATCCGAAATGCGTAATACAATCTGATTTTGAAGTTTGGGGCACTTTATGTCATAACAAGGTAGGTAAGTATAATGTATTGAGGAAAA